CGGAAATCTTTTTTTTTCAATAAAAAATTATATTTAAAAAAAAAATGAACCAGGGCAGAATGTTTATAATGAATTAATCAGTGGGGTAGTTAAACATGCTCATAGTGATAAGTGATTTTATTGGTCTACCATCTTAAACAGACATCTTGGGTTCTGGGTAATAAGAGCAGTCCTTAAGTGCCTAGAAAGTTAAACCAATGACAATAAGGCTCAACAATTCCTCCTTGGCTAGCCAGAAAATTGATTGCTTTGGTCTTTAGAAGCCTTCATCATCCTGATCATTTTTCAACCCTCAATAAAAGCCAACAGGAACAAAGAACAGAGGCCCCGGTTCTGATACTCTCTCCTTCCACTGCTTGCCTCACCACCACCTATAAGATGTACTATTGATTCTTTCATTGTACTCTGGTTTCATTAAAAGCTTGCCTGGCTTTTCTGCTGGCCTCCATCTTTTTTTGTCTTTTGTTTGTCTGAGGAAGGGGTCTAATTTTAATCATTTGACCAAAAAACCAGGTACTTTACCATAAACAGCTTAGTTGAAGGTGGCTTTTAGTTATTGATTTTAATTTTAATGTAGTAGGAAATAAGCAAATAGAAATACAATAACCTTGTGGCCCCAAATTCATATTAAGTTCATGTGGGACAGCTGAAGGCATAGAAGTTTTGGTAGTGAATTTTGTTTTTTATAACATTATTCGCACTATCAGGTTATCTTTCCAGTTCTTAAAAAGAAAAATTAAATATTCTATAATTTACTGTTTTTCCTTTTCTTGTGAACTTTAGATTAAGATGCACATGAACCAATTACCATACTCTTACAGCATTTAAAGAGTGCTGATACTATTCAACAAATTTAATCGTGTGTGTGTGCGTGAGAGAGAGAGACACGGAAACTTAGCATTTAACTGGTACATGGAAAAATGTAAAGAAGGTGCAAGCAGCTAAGTCTGTGTTATCTGCTCAGTTCTGCGTGAGGAAAACACTGTTGGAGAGGGTCCTTTGTCCAGCTCCTGCTCTGATCTTTTTAGCCTCATTAACAGTCTTTATGTGTGTTGAAACCGATTATGAAGGTGTATTTCTTTTTTTTTTAAATATTTATTTATTTATTATGTATACAATGTTCTGTCTGTGTGTATGCCTGCTGGCCAGAAGAGGGCACCAGACCCCATTACAGATGGTTGTGAGCCACCATGTGGTTGCTGGGAATTGAACTCAGGACCTTTGGTAGAGCAGGCAATGCTCTTAACCTCTGAGCCATCTCTCCAGCCCATGAAGGTGTATTTCTCTTTCTTGAAAAGGACTGTTTCTTGATTGCTGTTCCTTATCCTCCTACTGTACTTTTTTATTTCTCATTTTCCCCTTCTACTTTCTCCTATTTCCTAACCATAGGGATGTTGCTCATTTTTGTTCCTGAAGTACATCTGTTTGGTGTCCTCAAATTGTCAACTCTAGTCTAGTGATTCTTTGGCATGTTCTGTATGTATGTGCTCTACAGATAGCATCAAACCATTCCTAAACTCTCATTTCTATAGTTGTGCTGGTTTTTATTAGCTCTGTTCATTGTATGAATGTGGGGGGGGGGGGGAGGGGGGGGGGGATGGAGGCCAGAAGTCAACATCTAGGGTCCTCTGCTCTCCACCTATCTTTTTGAGACAAGGTCTCTTACAAAACCTAGAGCTTGATAATTCATCTAGACTAGCTAGGCAGAAAGGCCAAGGACCTGCTTTTCCTTGACCTGGGTTAAAGACAGGTCCTTCACTTTGATTTTATGTATGTGTTGGGGATCCAAATTTAGATGTCATGTTTGGATGAGTGATGGCACTGTCAATCATTTTCCAGACTCTCGTTGTCTGCCTGTATTCTACACTACATATTATAAATCTCGGATTCCAAGACCCAATAAATTTCAGGTAATACAAGGACTGATATAAAGCCACTAGTTTTCTACTTAATGAAATGAGTAGTTAAATTTATTTTAACAACAATAAGGGGAATATTGAGAGAAAAGTTCTGTAATGTTAATATTCAAGGAAAGATTATAAGTAGCCTTATGCTTACAAAATTAAGTTTATCTTTCTCTAAAAATGTATGTTACTGGGAACTTGCACACCTCATATTAGTCATGAATTTTTAAAAAGACATCAAAAACCTTGTCAAAACAAAGCAAATACAAACAAAAAAAACCACCACTGTACTATTTCTCTGATTCTTCAGCTCACCAAGGGAATAAAGGACAAAATACAGTATGACTTTTCCAGTAAAACAATTGTAGAAGCATTAAACATCTGAAACAACCAATAGAATACTCAGAGGAGAGCCAGGAGGTGGTAGCGCACGCTTTAGTCCCCTTACTTGGGAGGCAGAGGCAGGCGGATCTGTGTGAGTTCAAGGCTAGCCTGGTCTACAAGATCTAGTTCCAGAATAGGCTCCAAAGCTATGGAGAAACCTTGTTTCAGAAAAAATCAAAAACCAAACCATTCAGACGAAGCCTTTCTTATTAGCCAATACTGACAGACTAGAGACCAAGCAGTATAACTGCTTTTATTTAACTTGGAACTTAGGAAGGGAATAAATCATTAGGAAAAAGAGTCGGAAGGTAAATAACTTTATAATGAGGAAATATTACTGTCTACTCTCTTCTGTCTTTAAAGACTATGCTTAAAGCACTCTCAAATGGTCATTAAGAAAAACTGACAAACTGAAGCAGGAAAAAACCTTATATCTTTAATTTTATCTTGCAAGTATAAAGAAAGTGAAAAGTAACTTGTTCCTACCTTCAGGGCATCATGAAATACAGGTACACCTGGGTGATACGTGCAAGCATCTGGTCAAAACAGAGAAAGGAAACAACAGTTGTTATCAATTACAGTTTATGTATCCCTCCTTAGGGTGCTTAAGGGTTCGATCGTTTTTCCAAAAGCAGGCAAATTACTCTTAGCGCTTCATTAGGTTTTTGTATTAAATCTCTAAGAGTACGATACAGAGACAAAATCCAGAACCGTTCAAGAATAACACACGGGAATACTCTGTGGCAGCGGTTCAACCTTCCTTATGCTGTGAACATAAGGAATACAGTTCCTCATACTGTGCTGACTCCCCCAACCATTAAATTATTTCATTGCTACTTCATAACATAATGTAAATATGTTTTACAATGGTCTTAGGAGACTTCTGTTAAAGGACCATTTGATCCTTAAAGGGGTTGTGACCCACAGGCTGCATTCTTCCATCTTTTGCAATAAAACTTCTTTACTACTAAACTTGAAGTCCTAATGATTTTGGCAATCTCTCTTTTTTATTCTCTAAGAATTTCATACACGTGCGCAAATTATCTCAGTCGTACCCACCCTCCTCACTTGCTACCCCCACCTACTCACCTCCCTCTCCTTTCCCCAGAACTTCACACCCACAGTCCAACCAGTGCTGTCTATAGCCACTCCCCTGAAGAAAAGTCATTCCTGTCCCAGCTGCCATCACCTGCCAACAGCTTCCCAGCTTAGCTCGGGGGAAGCACAGACTTTCCTTCTCCCTGCGGGCTGGAATATTTGAACTAGAGGATGTTGTATTGGGCAGTCTTGTGCAGGCAACCACATGTACAACTACATGTACGGAACAGTCACGTTATAGCGAGAGCACAGAATTTCACAGCTCTCCTTCCCATCTTTTGTTCTCAATTATCTTTTCAAAAGAATATCTTTTTTTTTTTTTTTTTTTTTGGTTTTTCGAGACAGGGTTTCTCTGTGGCTTTAGAGCTTGTCCTGGAACTAGCTCTTGTAGACCAAGCTGGTCTCGAACTCACAAAGATCTGCCTGCCTCTGCCTCCCAAGTGCTGGGATTAAAGGTGTGTGTCACCACCACCGGGCAACAATATCAAATTTAAGTACACTTATAAACTGATCCATAAAAATTGCCCAAGCTTCTCTAAAAAGATATTATGAAAAAAAATTAACTCAACATTTTAATCACTGCAAAAATACCTAATTGCTACATTAGCATTCTTAACAAGTAATTCCTAGATACAAGCCAGAGTTCAGTTCTATAATATATTTCATGGTTGCCATTGATCATTTTATATTTCTGGTCTCTTTTCCATATTACAGAAATTTTAACTTATTTAACTCGTATACAAAATACGTTTATTACCTCTAGCAATGTGGAGTATTTTATTCGTAATAAACACACATTACCTGAGAATGCAGTACACCATGATGTTAGAGAAAGACACCTATATTCCTCTGTAATTTTCTTACTTGACTCAAACTTCCAAGTTTAATTCCCCCATCCTGCCCCGGCTTCCCAACAATCTGATTCCCTGTATTGCCATTAAATCTCTCTACCCTCTACTATTATCTCCTATTACTTCTTTACTAAGTGCTGGTTATGCATACCAAGTACTAGCTAATGGAATGGAACACCAAGAGAACCCACAGATTAGGAAGAGGCTACTAGTTACATACTGCAGAGTTAGAAGAAGGAAGCTGGGCATGGAAATGTGCATACACAAAGATATGAAGTTGAGAGGGAATAGCAGATCGTTTAATGTGCAATCACTACCATAAAGTATACAATGTATAAACACAGCTGGACAACAGGCTACATCTTCACCATGTAACCAGCATTGAGTTAACTGTAAAAATCACTGCTTTCAAAGGAAATGACATTAGATGGGCAGAAGAACCTCCTCCAGCATTTCTCAGGCTTACCAGCATTGCTGAAATTCTATTTACAGCAGACTAGTGACTATATTGAAGGCCTTTTTACACTAGGCTTAGCTGAAATCTTCACTTGTCACTCGTAGCTGCTGTGCTGTTTGCAAAGGCGTGTCTCCTTTAGAGTACTTAACACATGTAAGCTATGATTCATATTTCTTTTTAACATGTACTTGAATCACAAACTAAAATATCCTATCATCTTGAAGAGGCTAATTTTTGCATACGAGGCAAAACAAAAGAAACAAAAATAAAACTAAGGGGATGAAATAAGTCAATAAACATGGAAATTATACTACACTATTATAAATGGGAAGACTGAGTACAGACTTACAGCTTCTTACAAATATGATATCATCACTGCACTCCCTGAGAACACAGACCACACGGGCACCTTCAACATAAACAGTTTAATTCATAATTTCAACGTAAAAGATCAAATTATTCCCATTCCAAAAAACTTTCTCTTAAATCCAGTATTATCAACTGCCATTCATTCAACCAATTTACTTGACATTTATCCCTAGTTTCTAAAACAATTTCCACTTTGCTAAAGTGAACACATTTCTCTCCAGGTGACTGGAGTTCCCTGCTGTAGGTAGGTGATACTGTTTGTTAATAGCCCGAAATTGATGATTTACTCGTGTGGCTTTCCTAGCCTGTTTTTTTTTTTTTTTAACCTTTTCTATGTAATACACCATTCCACACATGGATAGACTAACTTTCAGTAACAAGTTGGCACCACTCCTGAACTTTGGACCAGAATCTAGTACCCTAAAAATATTGCCCCCATTCTACCTATAAAGCAGCAGTGTATTCAGTATTAAAGTAAAACGTGCACATAACCACGGCAGTTTAACAAGTGCTTGTAGCGTGGCTTCATCTTTTCCTTTTAAATCCTGTACCAGTCTTATTTAGAAAGAACTCATCTAAGCCGGGCGGTGGTGGCGCACGCCTTTAATCCCAGTACTCGGGAGGCAGAGGCAGGTGGATCTCTGTGAGTTCGAGACCAGCCTGGTCTACAAGAGCTAGTTCCAGGACAGGCTCCAAAACCACAGAGAAACCCTGTCTCGAAAAACCAAAAAAAAAAAAAAAAAAAAAAAAAAAAAAAAAAAAAAAAAAAAAAAAAAAAAAAAAACAAAAAAAAAAAAAAAAAAAAAAAAAAAAAAAAAACCAGCTCCCCCCCCCAAAAAAAACTCATCAGTTTACATGGAAACCAAGATAAATATTTCAAACACCGCAAACGTGAAAAAGACCTCTAATTAAGGTACTGGTTTTAAACTCTTCTCACAACGCCGAACTCCGGTCTGAAGCGAGACACTTCACAGGGTAGTTAAATTACGTAACAAAGTGTCAGTTCAATACCATGCATATAAAAAGCATACTATACATGCCAGGTAAATCTGAGACAAGTGTTGCCACTTTCCACAACAGTCTAGTAATCTGCATAATTCTCCCACTCAATAACGAGACTCACACCTCTGGGTTCACGCACGATAGGTGCTTTGCTTTCACTGTACATTCTTAATCAGAGCACACCGGCTTTTGGAGCACCACTGAGGCTCATCTCATGCTGGTCGGCGTGCTTTAAAACTGCAGGCCCCAGCAAAACTATACCGAAAACGTTGCTACGGTGAGACGGATGTGTTGAGAGTCATTTCCACAACCAAGCACAGTTCTTCAGAAGACAAGTAAATAGGAGAGGTGGGCTGAACGAGCGACGATACGCTTCTCACTAGCACTCAAAATGCGACAAGTCCAATGCGAGACCGGTCTATTGCCCACTTCCCCGGCCCTCCCGCGCCCAGGAATCAAGGCAGTGACAAAGCGTAAACCGGGTCACGTTAGCCCTGGAGCTGAGGAGGTGCAGGGGGTCCCCGGTGAGGGATGAGGGGCACCCGAGACAGCAGCGGCCAGCCCTAAGCGTGGGAGACACGTGGAGGCTCCCGGAGCCGCGGGAGGTCAAGACGGGGCCGGCGAGCGGCGGGCAGGCTCGGGGCCAGGGTCCTCCTTACCGTCAGCATTAGTCTCCGGGTCGAAACGCTGGCCGCAGCCGCGGTTGTAACACAGAAGCGCCATTCCGTCTCCCAGGTGAAACCCACCCGGCTGGGACTGAGAGGAAACCACCACGCCAGTCGCCGGCACTAAAGCAGAGGACGGCGCTGGCTTCCGGTAGCCGCCGGTGCCGCTTCAGGAATTTTCGCGAACGTTCGGGTTGCACAGGCGCAGAAGAGTCGAGAAGCTGGGCCCGAGCCAAGCGCTGGTCTGTAGATTCCCCGCCGGACTCCCGCGGGTGAGCGCAGTGGGGGTGGACTCGGACAGTTATAGATGAGACACCCGGGGCCGGAAGCGGAAGTCCTGGCGAGCCACGCTCCCTTTGTGCCCCGCATCCTCCCGGCGGTGGTGGTGTGTGCTGCGTAGTTCGTTGCCTGAGGCGGCGGCGTGCCCGGCCCTCCCTGCAGACGCTCTCTCGGCAGAGGGTGAGTGAGGAGGGTGAGGACCGCCACCTTAACCGGTCTCTGGGTCCGGATCTGCGCAGCCGCAGTCCGCCACAATTCTAAGTTGCTATTTCACATTAGCTGCCAATTAGCAGTCCATCAGTCGGTCTCATACAGTGAAATTTCAAGTCTATTGTACAAAGCACAAACGTTAATAGACAATAGGCAAGCAATATCATCCTGAGCAGATACTTTGAATAGGGCACTTTTGAAATAGCAAACACCGTTGATGAGATACACCAAAAGGATGTGTACTTTCCCGACGAGCCCAAGTTTATTATTAATGGAGACCTGCTTACATCCCAATAAGACTTCTCATTTTTCCACATCCTTTTAATACCTAGAGATATCAAGCTTATGTATTACTTCAACATAAATAAAGTTATGTATTTCTTTAACCTGAGGTGATTTCCATTTTATGTCATTGCTAAGTCATTCTTAGGAATGATGGATGTTTGCTGAATTCTGTCATTTACACGTTCTCCCATAATCTCACTGTTATGCCCAAATCCTCGAAGTCCCTCAAAAACTAACAAGGAGACCAGGTCCTATATGTAAAAGCAAAGAGCCTTTATTTTATGCAAGTTTACCCACTCAGTCTCTCTGTATTGGAATATCTGGAGAGAGCTCAGTTAAAGTTGGGTTTTTATAGTAGTAAAGGTGAGGTGAGGGGTTTCTGAGGTTCAAGTCCCCTGATTGGCTGACAGGATGTCCTGGTGAGTCCGCTGGAACGTTAGGCATTTTCGTTGGAAGGTCTGTTCTTGGGTGGTACTCGGGTAATCTCAGTTTGTGGTTCTTCCTGCAACCAGGTATTGCTTCAGGGTAAACTACTGAGACTCAGGTCTCCTTTAAATTTATCAATGTCTGAGTCCTACTCTGGAAGGTGATAATGGTTGGAAGTAAAGAACTTCCTTTAGGTGGTCTGTTTCTACTTAGCTTATCATTGCTGGCTCCTACATTCACCAATTTAATTATGCCCATCAATAATGAACTTATTGTTTATTGATTTTTTTCTATTCCTCTAGGAAGTAATTAATACTGTGTAAAGGGCATAAGCCTTTTAAATGCTTCTAAGTTTTTAAAGACTATATATTGCCAATTGATTTCTAAAAGGTGGTACTAATTTTTATTTTAGCCACAGATATCTGCTATAGTAGACCAGAGAAATTAATCATAAATAATAAGAAATGGATGAGAAGCTCTAAAGATTTTATTTTGGCCAGCTCCAGTGTTGCGTATCATAGGGTCACAACATCAGTAATGGGGTTGTTAGACGAATCGTTTAAGTAGGCTTAATATTTAATGTTAGTTATTTTTCACTGATAAAAATTTACATTAAGAAAATAATTGATTATAGTATATTGTAGGAGCCAACCATGATAGGCTTAATAGAAACAGACCACTCAAAGAAAGTTCTTCCCACCACTATCATCTGCCAGTGTTGGGCCTAGCCACAAAAAGCTTAATGGAGACCTGAGTCTCAGTAGTTTACCCTGAAGCAATTGCCTGGTTGCAGGGTAGACCACAAACTGAGATTACCTGAGCACCACCCAAAAACAGATCATCCAAAGGAAACAGGACACCCCTAGACAAATGACAGCCAATCAGAGGTCCTGAACCTCAGAAATCCCTCACCCCGAACCTTTACTACTATAATAACTGAGCTTTGGGGCTCTCTGATTATTCCTATACTTTGGACACACGGAGAGACCGAGTTTGCAAACTTGCATAAAATAAAGGCTCTTTGCTTTTACATATGGGACTCAGTCTCCTTGCTGGTTTTGGGGGGACTTCGTGGATCTGGGCATAACAATATAAATTTAAAAATATAAAAACAAGATAAAAAATGACCATCTGGGAGAGTTCAGAGTGGACAGGACCAGACTGAGCTGGTTCATGTGGTGAGGGGAAGGGAACCAGGAACCAGGTGCCACAACCTGGAAGGCAAAGGTCCAAAAGGGGCAGGTAACCAAAATGTCTAGATTATGTAGGGAAGAGTCTCTGGAGAAGGACTTTGGGCTGAATTGTTCAGGATAAAGGGCACAAGGTATGCCAGCCCTCTCTTACAACAAGTAGGGACTGGGATTCTGGAAGAGCCTGAAGGCCAGGTCTGCTTTGGTATTTTAAGAGGCACCCTAGCCTTTTTCCAGGAATGGAAACTTAGTATCTTAACAGATCATTCAGAATTGCTAAACATCTTTAAATATGTGACAATTTGAATTGCTACAAAACCTCAAGCAGCGTGGCGGTGGTGGGGCACGCCTTTAATCCCAGCACTTGGGAGGCAGAGACAGGCGGATCTCTGTGAGCTCGAGACCAGCCTGGTCTACAAGAGCTACTTCCAGGACAGGCTCCAAAACCACAGAGAAACCCTGTCTCGGGAAAAAAAAAAAAAAAAAAACTCAAGCATTTGAAATTTTATAAAATTGGGGGGGATTTTGTTGTTTACTTTTTTCCTTTTGGACATGGGGTCTCAATTGTTCACACTGGGCTCAGTCTCACTATATAGCATAGAATGACCTTGAACTCCTGACATTTTGTCTCTACCTCCCACTGGCAAGGATTGTAGGTACTACCAGTTACTCCTTTACTCAGTTTCCTGTGCTGCTAGAGATTGAATTTAGGATTCCGTGTATGCGAGGACAACACCTACAACTGAACTAACAGAGTTGTTTTAAAAGGGGAGCATAAATTAATTAAAAAAAATCTTTTTCTGCCTTCTTTTTGTGGGAGAGGGGTCCATTGGTGGAGAGGGCAGATCTGGGAAGACTGGGAAGTGAGTGTGCTCTCATTCATGATGTGAAATTCCTAAATAATCAATAAAAATATTATGAAAACAAAATAAAAAGTACAAGATGGGTGTGGCATGCCCGCGATTCCATCAGTCAGGATAAGACCAGAGGATTGTGAGTTTAAGATCAGGATGAAATACATAGTGCTATTAGTGTCTGAAACTCTCCGAAGAAAGGCCCCAGACTCAAATAGTATGCAAACACAGAGCCTTTATTCTGCAGCAATAGCTAGCATGCAGGGGTCAATCATCCACACAACATGGCAATGACAACCCAAGACAAAGACGTGCATGCCCTTTTGAAGGGAATTTGGGGAATTGTAAGTATGGTGAGCTAATCTTTGTTCTAATTGGACAATCGAGGAACAGTTACATGGGACATGTGTTGATTGGATGAGGCTAGTAACAGTTTGACCCATTGTGGGCTTTTTAGTTATAGATGATCAGTGATAGCCTTATCCTGCAACTTTGTGTCTCCCAGACTTATAAGGTCAGGTTTCAAACTATGTAACTGGTTAGCTAAACTTGGCTGGAGTACTTCCTGTACTCAGGCTTAGGGTCATGATCTACAATGGAGTTGCTCCGCGTCTGAGATGGAGTTACATTCCGACCCCTTCAATATAACTTATCAAATAAATAAACAAGCAAATAAACAATAGATGTTATAAACAAGAATACACTTAAATCCATTTTCTAAAGAATAGGAGTAATTAAAATCTAAACAAAATGACTAGAAGTAACATATAAAAAGTTGTATTTTCCCTTTCTGTCTTGTGCTCATTGACACAGGTGATCATGTACATGAATATTTGTAGACTATGGGTTTTCCTATTATCCGTATTTGAATTTTCTCTTTATACAGCAGTTTTGATGAAAACACATTATTAAACTGTCATATCAAAATTGTGGAAATATTTCTTTATAGTAATCTTGATGACTGGGTGTGATGTACAAATGTAATCCCAGGACTCAGGATATTGAAGCAGGAAGATCAAGTATTCAAGGCCTGCTGGGCTCCATAATGAGATGCTGTCTTTGAAAAACTAGTAAACAAAAACCAAGAAAGCTCTCATCCATGTTTTTTATTTATTGAAGATACTGTTATTATTAACTTTAGTAGTTTCACAAAAGACATCAGAATCATACCTTGTGATACCTTGTCAAAAGCCTATGGATAGGCTCATAGATCCTAACAGGGACGCAGCTACTCCTGTTTTGCTAATTAGAGATGTTGTCAAACTGCCTTCTGAATACCTATGCTTATACCGGTACATGACTGTTGCTCCCAAGCTTGGTCAGAGGAGTTTCTTTTTCATAATGGAAGTCGTGTCTCCTTGTAGAGACTCATAATGCATAAAAGCGCTGAGAATATGTGACTGTTGAGTTCCCAGCCCTAAATGGGGCATCTGTATCAGTGCTTCCAGCAGCTTTGGCACAGTGAATTTCACACTGTCTTCCTGTCAGCAGTACAGTGTGGGTGATGAAGGGGCCATGAGGACCCACCCCTAGCTGAGGAGACACTGGTGATTAGTGACTGTTGAAGAGGGGCCACTGATAGGTGCCCCATGTCCCAGTGGGTAGTCCCATATCTTTGAAGGAGTAGACAATGAGTTATAAAATAAGACGACACAAAAGTGAGAAAGGATTGTGTTGGTGTCAGGATTAGGTGGTGTGTTTGGGACTACAGAGGAGTGGGTTTCAGGGCTGGATGTGGCCAAGATATATTGTATATATGGATGAAATTGTGAAAGAATAAATAGAATACTACTGAAAAAAATAAAATAAAAACCAACTAGTTAGTTAAGTCATGTAGAGAAACACTATGATCACAAACCCGGAAGTACAAGAGTTAAAATAAAACGGTGCAACCCTTGACCAACCTAGGGTTGCTGCCTAGTGAGTAAGCCCTGAAGATGACAGTAGGCATAATTGGATGTCCATA